TAATAGAAATGTTAATTCAATTTATAATTTAAAAGCTCGCAATTTACAATTCAAATGTTTCATTTGGTTAATACGTTTCTGGTTAAGCCGACATTTTACAATGTAATATTATAATAATATGTACTCGCCTCCTCTATACCAACATACGCACCCGCGTTCTCGTGGTATAATGCAAATAATTGTTTTTATGCTTAGCAACTTAACTGCATGCCGCATGGCATAATGTTACAACGACGATTACGGTTATTGACTTTTGAAATGGTATTTTTAGGTTTTCTTAATTTTCTCTATTTGCCTATAGTATTATTCGAGGTATTGTTCTACCTACCAATACGGTGGCTATAATGGTGTAATATCGTAATGTTTCTTCGAGTTTAACGCACGTGGGTAGCAGTGTCATCATTATATTGACTATAGTTCACACACATATATATATTTATATATGTATACATATATATATAGGTAGGTATTGTACAAGGTGTTACAATGTAATTTGACAAATGCGACTTTAGTTTTACTTGATATTATGGGGTTTTAAAAATAAAAACAAAACACAAAGCAATAACTATAACGATCTTACCTAGTAGTTTAAATATTATTATTATTATTTTCGGAGGAAAGGAGGGGATTCAAAATGAGAAAAATATTAAAAACTAATATGTATGACAAATAAATTTAAAGCGGCCTAGATGATATAGAACAACTTACGTAGTTTCTCTAACTTAAAAATAATACCATGAACAATAATTAGTGAACATAAAAATATTATCTTCGTATAAGTTTGAAACAGCAAAAATTGTCTAAAAATCGAGTTTACAGAGTAGCTATTTTTTTTATTATGTGGATATATTTTTGGGTTGAATTTGAAAATTTGCGAGACACGTTTGGTTTAATATATGTAAGTACGGAAAATTTAACGCTGGTTTCCATAGCAGTAACAACAACATAATAATTAACTATAAAACATATTCCATAGTCCCGTTTTTCCACATAGCCATGAATATAAAAACATTTTTTTTTTTTTATTAGGTACTTTTATTTTTTATACTTTAAGCATATTTCAAAAAAAAAACTTATGCTTGTCAAATTATACCAAAACATCCAGTATAGTCTATAGTGTATAATCTTGTATAGAGTGTTGTGTTGCATAAGTTTTACACATGTATAATATATTATATTCAAAAGTTATGTATAACAGTTTACACAGCATTTTAACAAATGGCTAAAGTGGTCACTGCAAGTCGTCCAATTGAAAGCAATAAATATTTAAACGAAATTATTTAACTACATTAATTTACTATACGACCTATATCGAAATGCATACAGAAGGTGAACAAATGGTCTATAATTTATAAATAATTACCAACATAAAATTATTTTATATAGGTACTTAATACATATTGATTATGTATTAGCTGGGCGTATTTTTTAGCCAAGATATTATTATTAATTATTTGAATACGAGAAATCGATTATCATTTACATGGCCGATTGACTATTATCCAATAAGGTTATAATAGGTTAAATTCACCCAACAAATGATTTTAATTTTAGGATACACATACACATTCAATAGTTCTACACACACACACATCAACAGTAATAGCTTTCTCAAGTTACTATTGAAATAAATGTAAATCTGTAACCTAACCTAATCATAGAATATTATGTAATTACAATCACATATTTTATTCATTATTATTTTACAAATAAATATTTTTCATTTCACTTAAGAACATAACTTGTTTTATTTGACTGGTTTTGATAACCAAAAAAAAAAACTATAATCACTAAACCTTGCACAGTGTCAGATATCCGTGAATAAATGATAAACATATTAATGGAAATAACGAAAATAGTATATTTCCATCATTACCTAAAAATAAACATGTTGAATTCAATAAGAGATGTACGTCAAATGGACCACTAAAAAGATTGAGCGAACTCCTATTTACTTTTGCAATAGTTAATCAAATAATTTGTTTCATTGTTTTTTCAAACTATAAAAAAATTAAAACTATAATTTTTTAAATTTCTGAATACTTAAACCAGGAATGCTAATTAAAATAAACTTTGTAGTTTTGGTTTTTAAAACTACGCTTTTATATTAACGATTTTGCTCACCAGTTTTAATAACCAAAACAAAAGTTTTGAGTTGTAGTTTCGGTTTTTAAAACCGGTATGTTGTTTTACTGCTCTCACTCTGGTTATGGTTAAAACAAATCATTAAAACGTTTATTAACAGGTTTTAACCGATTCTACTAAAACCGATTTCTGTCACTGCACAAAATACTCTTTATTGTTTTGAAAAATCTAAATGCAGTAAACTCTGCTAAAAGAGTCATCAGTTAATTGGGACAGGCCAGACAGTAATGCTTGAATTATCAAAATAAACTTATGAATTTAGTTGTTTGTTAAAAAATGTTTAACGTCTACCTAGTCTACGAAACCAGAGAATTGGTACTTTTTTGTGGAGTATATTACATAAATTATGATCAATAATCCGACAATATTCATTATTAGATATCAAGTATTAAACTAAATTAATATAATTGTTATGGTGTTTATGTTCAAATGTAATTTGTATTAAATATGCATCAGTTGTAAATCGTGAGAAGTGCGTACAGTAACGATATTTCGTAGTGCTTTAGTCGTCTGGTTAGATTACGTCTATGTAGTTGACCACGTCGACTTTGTTCGATCTACTTCAAACCTCATACCATTATTATTTATTTTGAAAATTATTTGCAACTATTCGCCACATAATTTGCAGAAATATTTTTAAAACAATATGTATATTTTGAAATTGTATGCTTTTTATTATAATAATGGGCTGAACCTGATGTAAATGTATTTTGAACCATAAATTATATAAGTTGGTAAAAATGAATTGAAATTTTTATCAAAATGTAATTGATGCAAAGGAAGCACTCTGTGCTAATATTTTGCTTCTATTTATGAAACACAATTTTAAATTTTGATAGGGGTTGCTAATATTTTACTACTGATTGAAAATGAAAAACATTGAATCCTTCATGTACAATAGGTCAAATATCATACGTATCTATCAATCATAATTAATGTTTTTTTTATATTTGCTAAGAATGTAGTACGTACAATATTAATTTGTCTATATTATGGCATAAACACTAACTGTATTTAATTTGTAAGTAACTACTAAATATACGCTGTATTTTAATTTGAAATTTATTTAAATCTTCAAAAATTACAACATATTATAACAAAAAATTAAAGAAATACATTTGCATTAAATATACATGGGAAATTATTAAAAACTTTTTGTTTTACACAAAATTATCACCACTGGTTTTTTATATAAACGAAGTAACTTATATGCATTTTAATTATTAAATCTTATGCCAATTATATTATTATATTATCCTAGAACCTTGGGAATATTAAACTATTCATTTAGCATATACATTAAGACATGTGGCCTGATTTTATATGTCTTAATTATTTTTCTCGCTAAGTCATTATATGCACTTCTCAAACATATTTAAAAAATGTACCACAGAACATTATACATAATTTTTTTAAATAATAATTATTAAAATTTATTTATAAATTTAATCATTTGGTGTCAATGAAAAATAATATAGGTAGTTTGGTACCCATTTTTCATTAAATTTTTCTATTAAAATAGGTATATATTATCTTTATTTTACATTGGTCAAAGTCTATAGATACTAAAGTAATGAAAAAAATATTTAAAAAAATCACCCTGTGTATTATAGATACCCCGCGTAATAGAAAAATGTGAATTTGAAATGTAAAAAGCTTTAAATGGATACGTCGTTATGTGCACTATTATATGCACTATTATATGCAAACTAGTTTTGAATATCGATAGTCAACACCCAACACACACATACATTGGCACATATGTACAACACATTTCTTGACGTCATAAGTTGCGACCATGACGTAAAAATTCCCATCTGGTAAATGATATACCGCTTTTGAACAAATAAATTGAAAAGTTAATAAACTACATACATTTTTTATTCACGGTTATTTGTTTCGCTATTTTGGCCTAAATCCAGGTGGAATATCTCGTTAACGGGTTGATGGAAAGTAAAAATGTCACGTCAAAATTGATTTAACTAACATTCCATCTATTTATGGAATTTTTAATTTAGGTAACCGTTTGGAAAACAAAAGAAGATAGTGGTTTCATTCCTTAAAATAAGGATGATAAAAAAAAGTAATGGGACATTTTAGAGCTACTCATTTCTTAATTAAATATTATAAAAAAAATAATTCCAAAAATATTAATTCTTTCAATGAGTGTCTTATGTTAAGTGGATCACTTTATATATTATTAATATCATTTGAAACACAATGTAATGGTATATGTACAAATATGTACACCAAAAATTGTATTCTCTTATCAATCAAAATTATCAGTAGCATCATTTTCTTCCCTCAGAAATTTATTTAAATTATTTATTTTTATGGATTACCTTAGTTACACGGATGAAATGAAAAAAAAAAAATCGCAAAAGCTTGGTCAAAACATATGGTAATTAATATAAAAAAAAATAATTTTAAAAATCTATGTGTCATATTATTTGTGCAATAAAATGTAATGTTATAAAGTGTTATCACGTAATTTCATCAGTAAGACAGTAATTACAACAATTTTGTCTGTTTGTGTGTGTGTTACAATAAACAATGCCAGCAAGACACAAGGGGGGTCCATTCGGGCTGTCTAACGAATAAAGCAACACACATACGAAATACTAGAGCAGAAAGAACAGACGAACAAAGCCAACAAAATAATGAAAATGTGCATGTGAGCATGTCGCAATTGCGTGCATCTCAATTATAAGAGGCATGAGTTGAACGCAATGAATAACGACGATTGGAGCAAAGACAAGAGGGCCGTTTCATAGTAAACACATGCAGAGCAAATAACCGACAACGCCAACATCGAGCATTTACATTTGATTCGTTCTTTCATCTGGCAATTAAGTATGAGTCAGATATTGAATATTACGCTCATTACGCTCAAAGTGACGATCGGTGCTATGGTCAAGGAATGTCCCCATTGTCATGCGCTTAAATTCAAAAATGAGCCAGCTGGAATATGTTGCGCGTCAGGAAAAGTGCAATTACCAGTAATAGAAACATCGCCAGAACCGATGAATGGCTTGCTCATCGACACGGATCCAGATTCAAACCTGTTCCTGAAGTCCATTCACACATTTAATTTATGCTTTCAAATGACATCGTTTGGAGCAACACAAATAGTCAACAATAATGCGACAAATGGTTGACAATTCAATTTAATTCAACATTTAAAATTAAAGGTAAACTTTATCACAAAGTGGGCTCAATGCTGCCAATTGTGTACGAATCAAATAAAAGCTAAAAAAAAAAAATAATAATAAAAAATGGCACGAGCAACGCTGGGCAGTATCCTATCAGCTATCGCTCTATATATTATAAAATAAAAGATACACGAAAATACACAGCTGTTTTTTCACGTTTTATTAAAATTGTCCAATCTTTCTTAGTATTATAGACATCTTTTTTTGTTCAGTTCCGTTTTTATTCTCTCGGTAATTCATCTTCACCTGACTTTCGTAAATCCAAAGCGTTTACCCTCTCCGACTTTCTATTTTCTTTGTCGAATACCTACTTACTCTATACTCACTCATTCTTCAACTTAATCAATGATAACGGCGCGGTACGATATAACAATAACATTTTTTTCCTGCCATGATAATAATTTTACAGGCTACCGCGAAAACCGAAAATCTCTTATGAAATATCGATGAACAAAAATAAAGGGTTATTATTTAATTTTAATATTTTTATCCGGAAATTTACTAAATTTAAGGACAACTCAACTAAAGTTGAGACGGTATACGTAAAAGTACAATGTACTGTAATTAAACGTATATTATACACAAATATCAACTAACGTAGTTTTATTTTTAATCGACTGAAAACTTGCACGTACCCATGTAATAGCATAAATTGTATATATATTTTTGAATAATTGTACCTTTATTATTACTACATTAATAAATTGTTTAATTGTCGAGTTAATAATTTTGATAATAATTGTTACATTATATTATTAACGTGTGTAGTCCTTATTATTAATTGGTATTTTTGTTTTTTGATAATTGAAAACACAATGAAACAAGTTATTAATAATCACATTTTATTAAACATAATTTTGAATAGTAAATGAGTGTAAATTGTTAACCGTTTACTGTTAATTATTAATTGTTTAAAAATAATACGTAGGGTATATATATTCATAATATTATGCTTTAATTAAATTATAATATTCAAACGATTAATTTTAACTTTTTTAAACAACGCTGATTTTGTATGAACTTTATTACATGATATGGTTAATGAGAAAGAAATGAGAAAGGGCGACCAATTTGCCTATAAATACATTTTGTCTAGATCTACGGCTTTATCGATTTCATTATTTTGAATTTGTACGATTTATGTTTTCTGCCAGAAGTCAGGCCACATATTTTCGTGTATCTTTCCTAATAATTTTAAAAATCCTATCTTTCCAACTATCCACCTAAATCAGTGTCACAGCCGTCCCTAGGATCAGCAAATCTCTAAATCAGAGGCGGGCAGTGGTTTCACAATAAAAAATGAGAACAAAAAAAAAAAAAATCAGCAGTATAATATTTTAGAACTATTTCTTTCTCAAAGTGTTCAAAAAAAATTCCGAAAAAAGTTAATATTTTACGAAATAATGATACCGAGGATTATCGAGGAATTATTATCTTGTAAAGTGGTAAATTTAACCGTTGATTTCGACTCCCCAACAATTTGTACTGGGGGAGGCGATTTCGTAAGGGAGTCGAAAAATTGTTTCGGTTTTTTTTGACTCCCTAGTGGAAAGTCGGTATCACAATAATAAACAATAACGAGAATACTAAACTTTACGGCAAGAATATTTTTATTTTATTTTTAACAGAATTGACTGTGAATACTACTTTTTTATTGTAGCCAATAAAGTTTGATTGGCGAACACTAAGGGCCCCTTCACATATAGCTACTATCAGCAGCGTTTCTTTTAGAAGCCGCGTTCTGCGGGTAACGAAATTACTGTCGTCGTCTGTAACGCTTCCAATCTGTGTCTGTGGTCGTGTGTGAAACCGTCCATTTATCCTTATGTTTTTCGATCAGCAGCGCTGCTAAGAAGCGCTATTTCAAAATCACCAACAAATATAAATCGCAATCGTATTAAATTATTAATTTTTCCATGATAATCTTCCAACTTATATTCGTGTTTTACTTTTTCTACTAATATAATAATGTGTTATTTATCTGGTGAAGTAGCATAAATATTGTACAAAAAATCAGAAACAATTACGTGATTGTCTTCAACGAAACATACAATTTGTTATTCGTGTATGAGAAGATGTGTGCGTGTGTGCCGATTTCTGGAAAATATCTACAAAATATTATAATTCTTTGAACCTGGAATATGTGTACATTTTAATGTTCATAATAATAATTATAATCTAAAATATTACGAAAATTCGACTTAAAAATAATTGTATTAAAGAAAGAAAGGCCATACGTAATAATTATATAATTATGTAGTAACAAGAAACATTTATAAAGTCGTATAAACAAAGCATATTTAGTTAAAATTAATTACAACAGTACGTATGTACACCTATGTGGTATTTTATTTTCGTTTAAACGCAGGGTACCTAATCAACTATTTAATTAAAAAAGTAAAAATAGTAAAGAAAATATATAGAACGAAATCAGTGAGCGTTAAAGAAAACTCTAAAAAGAAAAAAGTCGAAATAAACCAAGAGATATTGATTTTCCATCAGGGAATTGAAAAAAACCAGAAGAATTTTTCAACTCTCCTAAGAAATCGTCTCCTTAACGATTTGTACTGAAGCAGAAATCTACGGTCACACCGAAACGTTTCTATACGATTATTATTTTATTCCACTAAAATATTACCCGAAAGTCCGAACTTTTTATACTCATATAAATTATTAATAACTTTGACCGCTGTATTGTAGTAACATTATTAAAAAAAAAATGATTAATATTATCATTGTGGTGATGATAACCAACGCGATAAATCGAATTGGCGATTGCGTACAAAAATACCTAATAACAGTTACATAACACGTGAAAAATACAATATCAAATAAAATTAGGGATGTTCACCACAGCTTTTGTTCTTCGTTTACCTTATGTTTTAGATTCTGAATAGAGCTTATGGTTTTACAAAGATTTTTATTTATCTGTGCGCAACTTTTCTACCAGAAGTCTTGTTTAGACTTATACGCGTAGCACCTTTTCTGAAAGGAAATCGGCGTGAGGAGGTACTTTAAGGAGGTCATTTTTTGATTTTCCCAAAAGTTTTCCCGACAAATGTGAAAAACCGGGACTCAATTTGGGAAAACCGGGAAAAATGTTGGAAAACTGGGATAATTAGTACAACATTAAAAAAATTTTATTAAAGAAAATATATAAAGTTTATTTAGTTATTTTATTACAAAATGACATACATATGGTCGAAAAAGCATTACTATCAACTGTATTCCACTCAGAATCGTTTCTTCATAAGCAATAGTTTATCGTTGTTTACAGATATAAATTAAATTCCCGTCTATATCCCACCTTCCCAACTTCCCATCTACACCAGTGGATGCACCCGACCCTATTATCTTATCTGTTTTAATAATAATACGGGTCGAAGAGAGCCACGAAAAACCGTAACTTACAATGATTGTTCGGTTCTCAGAAACGGCAGTGATTGGATACTGATACAAAGTAAATTACCTCGGGCCCCCCCCATCAGGGTTGATGACCGCGGGACAATTCTTCCAAAAGTCTATTTTTAGACGTCCAATCAGATATTTGCATTTTGTCGAACATTCTTAACATTCCTAATTGAATCTATATTCAAAACCATTAGTTCGTGTTTATTCTGTTATTATATTCTAAAAGAAAAATCGACAAAATACAAAATAATAATGATAATAATATGTTCTGTTGCGTTTTGGATATAGTTGGCGAGTAGAATAGTCATTTTCTAATTTTCCGGGAATTTTTTTTAATAATTGCGCAAGGTCTGGATAATATGTTATTTTAAGTTTTATTTGGTACGTACTATTTGGATAAAATAGTTTGACTTGACTGAAATGCTTGATAATTTAATACAAGGTTCATAATAAGTTGTTCTTAGCAGTAAAAAATGTTGAACATAAAATAGTGTTTTTGGATTTTGTATAAAATGAGTTGTGATTATTATTTGATTGATTAACTAACAAAATTTAAAGCACATATCTGTGCATATTGTTATATGAGTGCATGTTCTGTATGTATTTGCATATTTGGTCACTATAAACTGTCGAGGTGAGTAAAAATAGAACGCAGTGAACAATAAGGAACACACTTTAGTAACTCATTGTTTTTCCAATTAACATATACTACATTTGTCATACGTCTTTCTTATTAACAATGTACTAAATTAGATAAGTAAAATATTATTTACTTGGTTTTTGAATAAATTGAAAAATAAAAAAAAAATATTCTTAGTTTATTGTATTTTTTGGTTTAGAGATATTAATTAATTACTTAAGTATAATTTAAAATGCTCAATGCTCATAATAACAAAAATTAAGTATTACATTTTTGTCCTCTTCTTTTATGCTATATTGTATATTTAACTTTTTGTTTACACAAATTGTAACAAAAAAATAATAATTTACACTTCAACATTATGAAATGAAATTGAAAAAATCGTAATAAAATTTTAATTTTATTCTGCAAATTTCGTAATTTTTCCTAGCACATTTTTATTTTTTTAGTGCTTGTTTGCATGGATATTGAACAGCTATAAGTGCATATAAATCCGATATTTATTTATAAACGTGTTTTAATATCAAAGTTTGTCAAAATTTGGAAATGTCACACATTAACACATTAACGCAATATAACTAAACTTCGCTCAGAGTCGTATTTCGCTAGCAATGGTTTATTGTTGCTTCCGAATAAAATAATTTTATATATCCTAACTTCCTAACTTCCAATCTATAATTGCTCACACCTATCTGCAGTATCAGCTCTTTTTTCTTGTATTTCACGAATAGGTAATAAATTCAATATACATATTTACATTGTTTAACCTGTAATTTATCTATTAGGTAACTTTAACTGTGTGAATTTGTTAATAATCTTTTTTTAAAATTCCTAAATTGCCGGTATCTGCATTGGTATAATTTATTAATAGTATTACATGATATTATAGTCTCAT